ACATGTCTCCTGTCGGACCACTGGGACGTTCACAGACGGGACTTGCTCGGAGCCTTGGAGACTCATCACGACTGTTGTTCAGGTCGCTGACCTCCGGGCGGCCGGAGGCCCAGGAAAAGCGCTCACCCCACGAGCGCGCGCCCCTGGGCACGGCCCACCTTCGTGAGCTGCCCACTCCAGAGCGTTAGTGGGCTCTGGCCCCCCGCGCTGTCTGGACCCCCGCCGCCCTGATTCGGGGACCCTCACCGAGGAGCCCTGTGTGCGGAGCCCTGCCCCGGGCTGCGGGCCCGCGTGGGGCCGGCTGCAGGCTGACGGCCCGGGAGGGGGGCGGGGCGGGCGGCGCTCCGGAGCAGTCTGCGCAGCCGCCGTCCAGTGCGTGACTACGTCACTACGTCACGACGTCCTCTTCGAGAGACTGCAGTCCAGTGTCGCCCCCCCCCCACACACGCACACGGAGCTGCTCCATCCGTCAGGGTCAGGGTTAGGGTGGGCTCGGGGGGGGGGGGGGGGGGCGGGGGACAAAGCCACGGCGGCTTTCTCGGGCAGCAGCTCATTTCTCTCCCGTAAACCCAGGCCGCCCGGGGCTGCTCCGGCCGCCCCCCCCCGCCTCCACCTCTCCGACCCCGGGCACCGGGGACCCAGGCCCTTCCCTCCGAGGCTCAGGACAGCGGCCCGGGGTGCCCGTCCCACCAGCAGAGACAAAGGAAAGGTAAGTGTGCTCCCTTCCCAGTTCAGAAAGTGGCATTTTCACGTCCATTTGGCTACAAATCTTTTTTTAAAGTTTTTATTCATTTTTAGAGAGAGGGGAAGAGAGAGAATCTTAGCAGGGCCGCTACGAGCAGCACAGGGTCCCTCGGGGAGCAGAGGGGAGCATTGCCTTCCGCCACCGGCCTCGCTCAGGAGGGGGCTCTGCTCCGGGGGAGGATGGGGAAACGGACGGTGCGAAACAACAAACAAGCTGCGTTTTTACTAATATTTTATTTTAGAGCAAGGGAAGGGAGGGAGAAAGAGAGGGAAAGAAATATCACTGTGTGGTTGCCTCCTGTGAGCCCCCTACTGGGGACCTGGCCCACAACCCAGGCCTGTGCCCTCACTGGGAATCGAACCAGCGACCCTGTGGTTCGCAGGCGCGCACTCAGTCCACTGAGCCTCACCAGCCGGGGCTGTGTTCGTGGTGGTGAGATACACATACGACCGACCTCTGGGACCTCTCGTAAGCGCACACTTCCTCGGCGTGACCGCAGTCACACGCCACCTCCAGCTCGCTCTGTCCCCACGGGACAGTCCCCGCCTCTCCCCCGGCCCCTCACACGTCCTCTATGTCTCTGAATTTACCGTTCTAGCTGTGTTTGGCTTTAAAAAAAAAAACAAAAAAAAACTTCCCATGTCCAGTGTAGAGGTGAACACAGAAAAAGGGCCCGATAAATTGATAGCCTCCCCACTTCAGCCAAAGTGCCACCATCCACCCAGGTGTCTCAGCCGATGGGTGACCCAGAGCCGCCTCAGTCCTCCGTCTTCATGGCCCACCGCCAGCCAGCTCTGCCGCAGCCTCACCCCAGCTTGTCCACTGGCTCCGGCCCCCGCCTGTCTCTCCCCTGACCGCTCCCCTACCTGGACACCCACCCCCCCACCGTCTGTGGCCGACAGTCCACCTGCGGCAGCTGGTGACCTGCCAACACCTGCCTGCAGGTCTGCGTCACGGTCAGGAGTCCAGCAGGCGGAAGGACCTACCTCGTCGGCCCTGTCCCAGGCACTCAAGTTTCTCATGCAGCTCTGACACGCGAGCCACGGTGGGACAGGCCCAGGGGCCCGGGGGGCGGGAGTGAGCAGAGAGCCTGGGCCCCACGGCCCCTTCAAATGGTGAACAAGCGCATTTAAAGCGCTGGGGCCTCTGCTAAGTTTAAAGCCAGAAATACGGGCCAGTTTCGGGCTCTTGAACTGTCCCCTTTGTTTTCACACATGAGGAAGACACCGAAACTCACACACATGAGCTCCTGGCTTTCAGAACTGCTTAAACCCCCCGAGAGTTCTCCAAGTTGCCCAGCTCCCCGAGGCGGCCCTCAGTGCCGCTGCCTGCAGGGGGGCGGCGGGGTCCCTTCCTGCCCAGCCCTGCCCTCGGCCCTGGGGCCCCGGGCCCCCTTGGGCAGGCCTCCCCTCTCCTATCTCAACAAAACAAAGTAATTCGCTTTTAATGAGCGCTGGTGTTTTCGTTCCCAGCCCCACTTGCCCAGATAACGCGTGTGAGGCCTTCCCGGTGGGGTCAAACCACCGCGACCTTCATAATCAGCGAACAGAAATAAATTGTGTTTGCTCATAAATGTTGCCCAGCCTCCAGGGCCCAGCTGCCTCCTAATCACAGAGGCGGTGATAATATTCCGCTTTTATCGGGCCCCTGGCTCGCAGGTAACAAAGTGCTTTATTATTCCGCCAGGCAGGTCGGGGGCCCCCGGATGGCCTGCCCTTCGCGCTGAGGCGTCCGCCAAGGGCAAGCTCTCGGGTGGCAGGTGCAAAACACGGGGCTCCCTGCCCGTGACCCCATGGGGTCCCCCGAGTGCCGAAAGCCTTGAGAGCCGGCTGATGGGGAGGGTGGGCAGGGAGCAGAGGCCCTGCAAGTCCCCTGGACGCTGGCTTCCCCGGGTCTTGACTAGGCAGGCACTGTGCGTGACAGGGACCCTCTGCCCCTGGGGCCCGGCCGGTCTCATCTGTGAGGGAGCAGCAGGGGGCATTCTCTGCTGCCTCTCGTCACGTCACGAGATCTGCCGAGGTCACGGTCACAGTCCCCCCTCCCCGGGTGGCTTGTTCCTCTTCTGCGTGTCTCTCAGGGGCTCAGCCAGGCAGCCGGCCACGGAAGGCCCCCAGGAGGTGCGGCCCCCAGGCCTGGGCAGGGAGCTGCGGGATCCTCCAGGCCCCCCCAGTAAACCAACCTACTGGGGGGCGAGGCCAGTTCCAGGAAGTGGGGACGGCGGGGAAGGGCCCCCCCTGCCGCACTCCCCGGGAGCATGGTGCAGACTCCGAGTGTGCTGGGCGGGCAGACCCCACACTTCGGGGAAGGGACGGCCCTGCCCTCGGAGAGCTGCGTCAGCAGGACGGGGCTCAGGGGCTCAGGCCCACGCCAGCCCGGCTCCCAGCCCATCTGTTCTGCGGGACACCCCGCCTCACAGTCTGGGAGAGCTCTCGGCGGCTCGGGAGGGTCCCCAGCCCGTCCTGGGCGCGGCCCCCGCCGCAACACCCGGCTGCCCGCCCGCGCCAGATGTGCAAGGGTGCTAATGGGCGCGGCGTGGGCCCCGCCGGCCCGGGGCCGAGAGGGAGTGCACTTCCCCGCTAACCAAAACTCGGAGGGCAAGGCTCGAGTAAATCTCAAACAATCACGTCGTATTTCTGACGAGGGAAACGAGTGTGTTTCCTGCCCCGAGCACGAGAACTGGCAGCTCTGTGCTCAGGGAGCCCTGGAGAAGTGCTTCCTCGGAGACCTGCGTCGCTGCGCACCATTTCTGCGTCTCGTCCGAAGACTTTGCCCCCGCCCCCGCTCCCCGGGGGGGGGGGCACCCTGCTGGGAGTCTACCCTGGGGGCCGGAGGCTCAGCAAGGGCTGGGCACAGCGCAGCGACACCGACAGGAGACACCCCAAGGCCCCCGCCCTCGCCACCACCCTGCACTCGAATGAGAAGGGCCTGGGGGGCCTCCCTCTGCTTTCAGGAAGGGAAACCTCCTTGGAGATAGAAAAAACGACTGTCATGCAGCCGACACCCCCAGACCCTCAGGAAGAGGCTCCCGACCCACTGGGGCCTGTGCAAGGAGGTGGGCGCAGAGACCCACCCACCGTGCACCTCAGGGAGTGGGACCCGGGCTCTCCTGCCGCTGGACGGGGGACCTTGCCCCCTCCTGCCCACATCGGGTCACCCTCGACAGGATGAGCAGCCCTCCGGGCTCCTTGGCGGAGCTCCTGGCGAGAACTCGGGAGGCGGGGGCGAGGGGGGGGGGATGGGGACGCTGGGCACAAGGACGGAGCGGAGTTGCTCCAGGACCGTCCTGGCACAGGCGCCCGAGGGTCTCACCAGACAACGGGTTGGAGGCTGTGCACCATCCCCGGGGGCCCCAACCACGCCGTTCCCTGGGGCCTTCCCAGTGTGAGCAGGAAAGCGCCCCCCCACCCCCCGACGAGAGCCCCAGTTCCTGACCCGCCGGGATGGCCAGTCACCTGGCCCACCTTCTCAGTGGCTGGGACTGGAGATCGGTGTGAAGGAGGGAGTGCGGTGTGGCCCGGTGGCCCTCGGTGCCCGCAGCCTGCTTCCCGGGAAGACACCTGCTGTCGCTCCGGCCGCCCACCCACCCACCCGCACAGCCGTGGGAGACATCGTGGCCACACCGACCCCAGGGCGTGGTGCGGCGCTGCACAGGGCGGCCGCTGGGCCTGGCCGTCCACGCTGGGCCGGTGTCGGCGCTGGCAGGTCGGGTGCTCTCGGTCCCGTGTTTCACGACTGGCTGGCCCGCATGCTGGGGGCACGGGGTGCACGTCACCCAGTAGGAACAGGGCCACACAGGCTGGTGCCGGGTCTTTTTAAAAACAGCCACGGACGAGGTGACGCCACGGCAGGGGAAGCTGGGGCGTCACGCCTGGCCCGTCGAGGCCGCGCGGACGCGGGTGTGCCGGCGGGACGGTCAGCACCAGTGGGCACCCTGCCTCGGGGGACACGGGCGGAGGTGCAGGAGTCGGGTGTCCTGACATCTGCGCTCCCCAGCGATCCTGCCGAAACGCACGTGTGCAGACGTGCGTGTCTGCGTGTGCAGGCGAACAGAAGCGGGTGTGCCACCACGGTAACACAGCAGACCGTGTCCCGTGTGCTCGAAGCGGGGCACCCGCCCCGCCCGACCCGCGTGACCGGGAGAGGAGGAGCGAGCGTGGGGTCCGCCGGGGCCGGCCGCAGGACGAAGGGGAAGGCCCGGCCCTCCTTCTCTGGAAACACTTCTGACGAGACGAAACGAGTAGTCCGTACACGTGACTTTCTACGGAGAACGGTTTCTTAGAAAATATTTTATTTAGCTTTTACAGAGAGGGGATCACGGATCTGTTGCTTCTTCCACGACGCCCCATACTGGGGGCCTGGCCCATAGCCCTGGCCCTGTGACCTGGCTGGGAATTGAACCGGTGACCCTTCAGTGCACAGGCTGGCGCTCAGCCCCCCCGAGCCGCACCAGCCGGGGCCGGAGGACGGTTTTCAAACCTGCCCGTTTCCCTCGGGCCAGAGCGGAGTCCCTCCCCGGGTCTGGGCTGAGCTCGGCCCACTGAGGGGCGTCCGGGTCCCCGCTCCAGCCGTGGGCCAGCGGGCAGCAGGCCCAGGCGAGGGGCTGGGGGTCACACAGGAGCCCCAGGGGCCAGCAGAGGGGTCTCGAGCTGGCTCCTGGGGGCGGGAGTGAAGGGAGCTGGGCGGTGGGTGGGTGGGGGAGTGGGAAAGCAGCGGCCGGATGCGCCCACGGGGGATCGGGGGCCCACACGCCCCCGCTGGCCGCGCTCAAGGCCGCACGCCCGCTCTGGGACGGGACACTCGAGGCTTTGTCTTCCGGACACCCCCGCCCGCAGGCCCCCGAGGCCCCCGCAGCGAGCTCCGAGCCAACCCCGTCTCCCTGTCACCGCCTTATCTCGCCAGCTTCACTTCTTACCGTCCGCCCGGCGCCCCGAGAGACAAATGGCACCTCGTGGGCCCGCCCTTCTGGCCGGGCAGTTGGGGGCACCGGACAGGGTGAGAAACGGCGGGGCTCCCGTTCCCAGGCCTCTGCACGTTCCCAGGAAGACCGGCCGCCTGGGGCCTCCCCTCGGGCTCCGTCAGGAGGCTCTTCAGGGGCCCCAGGGACACTGCCTGCCCCCCCCACCCGCCCGCCCCGGGGCCGCTGGGCCTGCGCCGTGCCCCACTCTGCTGACTCCCGGCCCGGGCGCTCGGCCTGCATCAGACACTCGGGCGGGCTCCGGGGTCTCGTCCCCTTCCTCACCCTCCACTCTCCGCCAGGGTCCTCGGGCCACCCCTGGAGCGGTGGCCTGCGCCCTCGATCCCGACCTCCACAGGCCCCACAGGGCCACACCCCGACCTGGACGAGGGCGGCCGGTCCTTGGAAGCTTCCCGCCCGCCCGGCCCTTCACTCACGGGCGCAGGCTTCCGAGGCCCGTCTGTGAGGGCGTCTCAGAAACCACCCCCCCGCCTGCGCTCTGGGCCTGTGGCGTCACCTGTGACCAGCAGGTCGCAGGGACCACCCGGCTGAGCTTGGGGCCCGCATCCCCGTCAGCGCGAACAGTCACCCACGAGGACACGGGAGCCTGTGCCAGAGCGGGCGGACACTCCGGCCCCGGCCCCTCGGGTGGCACCGGCCTCACACCCGGTCACCGGCCAGCAGCGCCCTCCACCTCTCAGCCCTCTCGCCGCCCAGGCCCCGAGCCTGCGGGGACGCGGCTGTCCCGTGCACTTGGGCCCCGGGGGCAGCGGCAGGCAGGGCACCGGCTCCGGGTTCCCGGTGTCTCCTGCACGGTCAGACTGGTCCGCCAGGTCAGGTGCCCGCATACCTCGGGACGCATGCCAGGTCCCGGCCCCGAGCTGCCACAGGGTGGTCGGTGCTGCGTGAGGGTGTGAGGAGGGGGCCCGACGGGGGCTCCCTCAGGCCGGGCAGCTGCCCATGTGGCTGCCGCGGAGGGCAGCTCGTGTGCATGCGGCATGACCGGTTCTCTCCTGGGCACACGGCACCCCCTGTGCCCACCAAGGGTGACGGTCACGTCGGGCCCACGGCGCCTGGGAGGGATGCACACCTGAGGGCCGAAAGTGCGGACACGCGGGACTCTCGGCGGGGGGCAGGGGCGCCACAGGCTCAGCTGTCCGCAGGTGGCGTGCGCCTCACTGGGTGCAGGCTGGTCCCGGCGGGCACCAGTCCCCCGAACCCCAGTCGCTGCCCAGCACCGGTCCCCGGAAGCCCCTTGAGGGGGTTCAGGGCAGTGCACAACGGCCCGCGCCTCGCCGAGTCGCACGGCCCGCGCGCACACACACACACACACACACACACACACACACACACGGGGCCACGCCTGGCCGCCACTGACGGTCCCGGACATGTGTGTGCCCAACGCCTCACACTCAGCAGAGGGGCAGGCACCACGCGTCACCGGCGGTCTCTGAACTCTGCACTGACAGGCACGTGGGGATCGAGCCCCCGTCTCTGTCACTAACTGCCCCCTCCCGCGGCCCGCCTCGTCCGTCTACGCAGAAGCGAGGGGCACACTCGTGCGCCCACATGTGCACGCCGCCTGTCTCGTCACTGAGAGAGCCCTGTCCCGTGCCGGCCCGCGCCTCCCACACGCACACGAGTGTCTACAGCACACGCACAGCCTGGGATCCAGAAACGTCTCAGAACGCAGCAGCTGGAGCACAGTGGGCCGGGCCGTGGGGGGCTCTCCTCTCCCCGCCCCAGTCTGTGGAGCCGCACACAGGCCCCGGCCACCCTACATCCTCAGCGCGGCCCTGCCCTGCAGCGCCCGGGTGGAGAGCTCCGCCCGTTCCCGCAGCGCGCTGGCCTCCTCAGGGCTGCGGGGTGCCTGCGCACCCTTCAGCAGGAAGTGGCCGATGAAGAGCTTCAGGCCCTCGCGCAGCATGCCCAGCTTCGGGTTGTCGGACACCCTGGAACGGAACCGCGCCGACCGTCAGCTCGGCCGAGGCTCGGGCAGGGAGACGGGGCCTGGGGTCTTCCAGAGGGAGAGCTCCCCAGGGGCGCCTCGGGCACCCTGCCAGACGGGTTCCCGTGCCCGGACTCTGACAGGTGGGACAGGAGGGAGAACCACGGGCCCGAGGCTGCAGGGCCACCGGCTGCTCCGCCCGCCGCCCGCCCCAGCGGAGGGAGCCCGGCCCCTCGGCTCCGCCCCACGCTGCGCTGGAGCAGGGAGCACCCACCTGGCGAAGATCACACCCAGGTCTTCAGCTTCTGTTTCCATCAGCAGCATGTACAGCACGCTCCGCAGAAAGTGGACTCTGGGCTTGTCCAGTTCGCTGAACTCGACCACCTGACAGGGCCAGGACACAGAGAAGCACAGTGGCACTGACCGAGCTGGTGCTTTCCGGCAGGTCCCGGATACAGTCAGAGCGAGCCACCCGCCCTTCAGGGAGGCCACGTCCAGCCGCAGGCGGTGGCCGTGTCTGCGGGGCACAGGGCCGCGGGAGGCCCCGCACACAGCTGCTGGGGTGTGCGCTGCACAGCGAGGCACTCGGCCTCTGGAGCTGAGCTGAGCTAGGGACGAGGTCCGCTCCAGCGGCGGCGGGCTGAACTCCTTGCCGAGTCGCCCCCTCGGAAAGCGGCCCAGCAGTCCCCCGGCCCCCGGCTGGGCTGCATCTGCCTCGCTTCCAGTCACCGCGGCCGACCGAGGTCCAAACACAACCTCTGACGTCGCCGCGGCTCCGTGACGCAGGAGGACCTGGAGCAGAGGGTGCCCTCCTGCCACGCGGCCGTGAGGCCCACAGCGGCCTGGCGCTCCGCTGCACGAGGAGCTGATGCCGTGCGCCTCTCCGAGGGCCGGATCCGCACGCTGACCTCACCGCAGACGCACGTGGGGGAGAAAGCGCAGCGCCCGGGGGTCCGGCACTGACTGTGGCTCCGGGCACCCACGGGGTCCTGGCGCGACCCCCTGCAGGTAAGGGGGCGGCCGTGCGCGGCCCAGCCCTCAGCTTCAGTCCGTGGCCGAAACCCAACAGCACACCCCAAGGCCACCCAGGTCACCCCGAGCAAGTGGACACTCGGGAAACCATGGTGCTGTGGGCCCGGGGGGCAGGGAGGAGACGGCTCGGGGACCCAGGCCCAGGCCCTTGCGGACCCCCAGGGCTCTCCTCCAAGGCCACGTGTGCAGGGTGTGCGGCCCCAGCCCAGCGGGCTGCCTGGAACCCCCTCTCCGTGTCCAGGCTTCACCGGCCCCCGCAGACCCCACCCTGGTGCCTGCCTGTCATAGGCCGTGAGCCCCGTGGGCGGGGGAGGGGCCGAGGCCACCATGCTGCCGCTCTGGGAGACTGGCACCTCCGTGCCCCCCGCCACTCCCTGCCTGGCAGTGGCTTTGCAGGGCCAGTCGTCAGGCCGCACCCACGGGAGCCCACGGCCGACACAGACCCGCTCAGCGGGCAGACCGCGGCCCCGGGGCCTTGACTGACCGGCCAACCACACTGAGGGCCGACCCCGCCGGGCTCTGAGGTCGGGACGACAGGGGCACTCTGTGTGCCGCCTTCGGGGACCAACACCAGTGCCCGTGTCACCGTTCTCATCGCCCTCAGTCCGGTCACCCGTCACACAAACCTTGAGGATGGAAAGGGGAAGGGACTTCGTCTTCAACAAGTGGGCCACCAGGTGAACCAGGTTGGAGGAGCTAGTGGCTGGCAAGTTCTCCAAGTCCCGAAACTTGTCCCAGATGCTGAACTGGAAAGTCATCTACCGTGGGAACGGAAGGAGGAGGAGGTTGGAACGCGACGAACCGCGAGACCGACTCTCCGGGAACGTCGTGTGCAGGGGCCTGCGGACGGGACTCTGGGGCCCCCGCACTGCCCTCCCCGACGTGCGGTGGGCGGCCCACAGGGAGAGCTGCACAGCGTGTCCCTCAGGCCGGCAGAGACCTCGGACGAGGACAGCGCGGCGCAGGGACCTGCGGGCCCGGGGACCGCCCAGTCACCTGGAACCTCCTCTCGTAGCTGCAGAGCTTGCTGGCCAGGAAGGCGTAGAAAGGGTTGTAGCTCCTCTCCTGCAGGCAGCAGTCCACGAGCACGTGCACCACCTCCCGCTCCTGCTGGTCCTTGAGCCCGAGCCTGCGGAGCACACACAGCAGCGGCGGAGCCGTCTCACCTTGCCAGAGCCGCACAGGCTGCCCCGGCTGCTATGGCTCAGTGGACTGAGCCCCAGCCTGCGAACCAAAAGGTCACTGGTTCGATTCCCAGTCAGGACACATGCCTGGGCTGCAGGCCAGGTCCCCAGTAGGGGCGTGTGCAAGAGGCAAGCAATCAATGCATTTTTCATACATGCATGTTTCTCTTCCTTTCTCCTTCCCTTCCCCTATTTCTAAAAATAAATAAAATCTTAAAAAAAAAATCTTGGCCCTGGCTGGCGTAGCTCAGTGGATTGAGCTCGGGCTGCGAACCAAAGCATCGCAGGTTCGATGCCCAGTCAGGGCACATGCCTCGGTTGCAGGCCACAGCCGCCAGCAACTGCACATTGATGTTTCTCTCTCTCTTTCTCCCTCCCTTCCCTCTCTAAAAACAAATAAATAAAATCTTAAAAAAAATCTTAACAGGTTTAAGGCAAAACTTTTCAGAGAATCACACCACCTGGCAGTTTGGTTAAAAGGGAGCCGAGCAGGGGGTGGCAGTAACAAGACAGGAGCCACAGGCCCGGTCCCATCCCCAGCACCTCCGGCCTGTTTCTGACTGTGGTGCCCGTGGAGGGGACACCGACCTGAGTCCTGTGCTGGCGACAAAGGCCTGTGGCCGGTCCCGAGTGACAGGAGGCAGGACTGACACTCGGCTGTGGGCCCTCAGGGCCGGGTCCAAGCCGGCACTGGCTGTCCAGAGACGAGCCCCGCCCAGGGCAGGGCCAGGTGTGGGCCAGCGTCCCACACGAATCCTAGGACACGTCCTGGGACACGCCCCTCTGTCTCACCCCGGATTTGAGGCAAAGAAGGGCTAGACACGTTTAGCAGCGCCTCGTAAACACCACACACGCACTTTTAAAATCACCCTGCAACTGTTGACAGGAACTACGCGAGGCAGTCCTAAACTCACTGTAAGAAGAACACTTCTAATCTGGAGATTTTAAGCAGTTCACCACAACCACCGGGAACTGCCAGCCGGTCCCCTGGTCGCTCTCACGAGACTGCACCACAACGCGGGACGGCCAGCGGCCGCGGGGCAGCCCGGCCCGGACGCAGCCCCTGGCCGGACGCCTGCCCGCCCGCCCACCCGGGCGCAGCGCTCACGGGCACGCACTTCAGGAGCTTCTCGAACGCGTCCAGGAAGTCCTCGCTGCTCATGATTGTGCAGAAGATGCTTCTCCTGACGTCCGTGTTCATCCTCTGCTTCCGGGCGAGCTCCAGCATCTTGGCGCTGACCTGGGAAGAGGGGCGGCCGGAACATGGGTCACTCGCCGGGGTCAGCGAGCCTGCTGCTCCGGTGCGGCCGGGGCCGCTGGGTCAGGTTTCTGAGACACGGCATGCGCGGCTCTGCGGCCCCACCCGAGCGTGACTGAAAACGGCGGGTGCACAGAAGTACGTGAACGCCCCATTTTCATTCTCGTGACTCCCCAGGGGACGAGTCCACCAGAAGGACACGGCGGCCCAGGTGGGGACGGCCCGTGGCAGCGCCCGCTGGCAGCCTGAGCCAGGAGGCAGCACGTCTGCGGCAAGGGGCCGAGGCCAGGAGAGCCAGGCGGCGCATGTGACATGGGCCCCGGGACGCAGAGAGGGGTTGGGGCGGGGAGGAACCCTGCCCACCACGCGGACTTCGGTCAGCGCTAAATCACCAGGCAGGGCCCAGCGCCCTGTCCACCCGAAACTCGGGCTGATGGCCCGGCCGCCACGTTCAGGTGGCAACGTGTCTACACGACAAGAGTGGATCTATCTGCAGCCACATTGTGATGTTCTGGGCCTGTAACTCTTTCACTCGATGTTTTCTGGGACTTAAAACACATCCTTTAAAAAGCAACACCAGAAATTGAACCAAACTGTCACAAAACCATAGCAACCTCTACAAGGCCTTCAAAAGGCCCCCAACTGCCCACCCGGGTAACATCCAACGAACTGCGAGGCAGCTGCCCCAGGGAGAGCCGCGGCGCCGAGGGGGCAGTGGCGGGGGTCGCATACCGTGCCCGCCGGCGGCTCCTGCGGGGCCTTGTGCTGGCTGCTGTCGATCATTGGGGTCCCGCTCCAGGCGGATCCCACGATCCACCAGCGCCCAGTCTGTGGGGCGTTGAGGACGCTGTCCCAGGACACGCGCAGCTGAGAGTCTGTGCCCGAGCCAGTGCCGCGCACCTGCCGGAAGGAAACACAGCAGGTGAGACGCTGCAGCCGGTCCCGGCTGTCTGGGCCCCCCCCACCTTCTGCTCCTGACGACGGCGCTTTGGCTGAGCATGCACCGTTACGTGTCACTGACAGCCGGGCCCTGCTGTCCGGAGTAACGCCCGGTGACAGGCACGCTCCCGGGCGGGTGTCTGAGGGCTCCGGGTCTGTCCTCCCAAGCCTCGGTCTCTGGGGAGTCGTCACAGCAGGGCAGACGCTCGGGGCCACAGGGGGGCTGCACTGGCTGGCGGTGGGAATGCGGCTGAGCGGGGCCCGGGGCCCGGGGGAGCCAGCGGTCTCTGATCTGACCCAGGGTGGGCTGAAGGGCGGTCCCTGGCCGGGGAGGGCGGGGCCCTCGGCCGTGGCCCCACACAGAAAACGCCCGGGGAGCTCACAGGGACGAGCCCCGTCCTGCCGCGCTCACACCCCTGGGGCCTGTCTTCCAAAGCGACCGGAGGGTTCCATCGTGATTCTGCCGTGCAGCGAGTCCAGCCCCGCGGACTAGGTGTGGGGGACGCTCGACTCACAGGGACCCCCCGCACACATGCCACTCCCGGGGTCTCGCCACACGACAGCCGCCGGCTGGCCCCGGGACCCCTGCCGACTCACCAGAGCCCCCTGCAGCTTCCGCAGCCGCTCGGCGGGCTCGGGGTCGTAGCCCGGGATCTTCCGCACGTCGTTGTTCCGCAGCGCCAGCATGGTCTCCAGCATGAACCGCACCTGCGCGCGCAGGCAGAGAGCGCGCTCCGTCGTCTCCCTCCGCCACGCGGAGAGACAGGCCGGCTCCACCCGCCTGCCCCGGAGCGGAGCGCAGGCGAGCGTGTGCAGCGTTTTAACGGTGATCACGCGCAGTAGACTCCGCCCCCCCCCTCCGCATCCGGGGGGCGGACCAGCGCCCGCAGGTGCCCGGCCCCTCCCCTGCGGCCCCAGGCTCCGCGCCACCCCTGCTCTCCCCCGCTGGTCACGCGTCCCCTCTCCGGGCCTTTCTGCTTCTCCAGCCTTTGGGCGGGAGACGCAGCCGGACCTAGAGGAGAGCCGCAGACCAACCAGCACAGAGAGCCCCGGACGCCCTCTCCTGAGGCCCCCTCACCCACTTCAGGCGCACACTCACCGTGTCCAGGGCGGTGCGACCCTCCCCGGTCTTAGAAGATTTCACTGCCTCCCCCCACCGCAAGGAGAAGCTTCAAACTCATTAACAGGCATGCCCGTTCCCACCAACCCCTCCCCCCCAGGCAGCCACGGTGCACTTCTCATCTCTTCGGACTGCTGTGTTTCAAACTTGACCTCTGGGCCTTCCACACGGGGCAGCTCCTCTGGGACACCCCAGCCGGGTGCCTGCGTCAGCCGAGCGTCTGAGCGCCAGCCCAGCTCGACCCCGAGGCCCCACCCCACAGCCTGGGGGCCTCCTCCTCCGAGGGCGCAGACGGCACTCCCGGGGAGCACCAGGGACGGTCAGTGCGGGACCTCAAGCCTGGGCCCGCCCCCCCCGCCCCCCCCCCGCACGTGCCGCCGCCGCCCACTGAAGGCCCACGCAGAGAGGCTGGGCTGAACCCGCCCCTCCCCCCACCCTGCCTCCCACCCCCACATCCGGTCAGTCCTAACTCCTTCCCTCACGTCCACTGCGACGGAGCTGACCCTCCCTACCACCGCCTCAGCCCCCCCCACAGGGGTGCCACCCTGCCAGAGCCCCTCCCTCCTCTGCGTGGTGGCCGAAGTGACCCCGAGCACCTGCACTTCCAGGTCACTGCTCAGAACTGCCAGGTGCCTCCAGGACAGAAGCCTGGTCCTTGCAATGGCCTCCACCTGCTCCCCTGCAGGCCCCACGTGGACATCCCACAGGGGCTTCCGAGTCCCCCGCCCCTCTCAGTCGGCAGAACCGGAAACGAGGCAGGAGCCATGGCCAGCCCTGTTTTCCAGAGGGAAACCGAGGCGTGGAAGACTGCGGTGGCGTCGCTGTCCGGCGGCCAGAGCAGAACGCCAGGGGTGCTGACCCCGAGCCACATGGCCTCTCTCAGCAAACGCTTTCTGAGTGGAGGAGTGTGAAACACATCATTTCCCAAACCCACCAAACACCCGAGTTCTCAGTGAAGAGAGAAGGCTCACTCACACGTCAGAGACAAAGCCGCGACATCACAAGGCGACAGACAGACCGCGAAGAGCGGGTCGTGGCATTCGCCCCGCACGCTCATCTCTGAGCGCGGGCCGAGTCTGAGCGTGGGGCCGGGAGGCCAGGCGCACACCGTACCCGGGTCTGGTCCTGGAACCTGCCGTCTGCCCGGGCGGCCTGGGCCTTGGCCTGGGCCTCGGCGATCAGCTCCTTGAGGGCCAGCGCGTCGTCCTTCCTCAGCACGAAGCCCACCGTCCTCAGCAGCAGCAGGGCCAGCTCCACGTCCTTCTCCGAGAACGCCCCCACGAGCCTGCGCAGCAGGTCGAAGACGAGCGGGCACTGCACCACGCGGAAGCCGTACAGGTGGGCGAGGACCGTGAGCAGGTTGTCGCACTCCTTGCCCGCGCCGCCCGCTCGGTACGCGCCGTCGAACCGCCTCACCACGGCCTCCAGGAAGTGCGCCCCGACCTGCAGGGGCACAGACTGGCGTCACGCGTGCGGCACGCCAACACAGCCGTTGAGTGATGCCACAGCCTGCCAGAACTCTCCACGTACTGAGGTTAAACGCCTCAGGTGAAACTACGACTGAGCACGTATTTAAAAACAGAAACACCGTTCACGTCGCTGCAGTCGCTCAAGCGTGTGTGTTAATTCTGACTCCACATTTTAACACAAACCCACAGAGATGGGACTTCTGATTTTAACAGGCTCCAGAGCAGCGCAGTCACTGCCGCCTTGGGCTCCGTGACACTCTGGACTCGGTGGGGATGACCTCGTCACTGCAGAGCCGGAGCTTGATGGGCGTGGCGGCGGGAGAGCTCACAGCCCAGCACCCACTCAGCGGGAGGTCCCTACGACTGCCCGGGACGAGTCACCCCCGGCCTCCTTCGTGCCTTCAGCAAAGGGTTCAGGGAGACACGGACCAGGGGCCCCAGGCTCCCAGGGCCAGGGAGTGCCGGACACACTGCAGGCGATCAGGGCTCACGGCTCTCACTGCAGCTGCACCAAGTTCCGTCTGAGCTGAAACCGCCGGGGTCAGGGCCCACCGCTCTGACGCAGGGTGCGGGGGCCCGGCAGAGCCCCTGACTGCCCTGAACCTCGCAGCTCCGGGCACCGGGTGTCGTGTGTGGGCCAGGGAGAGCTCTTGGAGACAAAGCTGTCACTTCAGAGGACCGACCCCAAGCAGCTGGGGCTTTCAGAGCTGGGGAGTCCCAAGGCCCAGAGGACAGGGAGCCAGTGTCTGTCCTCTGTCCCCAGTCCAGGCGGAAGTCACCAGTCACCCGGAACGAGCACGTATCCACCCAGGCTCCCGGGGATGCTCCCCACTCGTGAAACTCACTGACTCCCCTGCTCCAGAACGATGGGGTATCTGGAAGACCGGGGGGAGGGGGGGCGGGGCAGGAGCTGAACCCCTGGAGGGGCCCCGAGAAAACGCAAGCCAGGCCATGCCACCCCAGGAAGATAAACCAACACCAAAGACAGGTAAGAGTATCCTGATGCAAGGCCGCAGCTGACCAGCACCTGCGGGCGGGGCTCCCCAGGCCGGGCCTACCTCGATGCCCACTGTGCGGTGCAGGACGCTGACCAGGAGGACGTGCTCCATCACCAGCCGGCCGGGTGCGGCCCAGTCCGGGGCACAGGCGCTCAGGATGGCCCGCGTCAGGGTGTCACTCACGTCCCTCCGGCTGTGCCGCATGTACAACTCCTCCAGCTGCCCGCTGATGGACGCCAGGTTGGGCTCGCTCAGCCTGCACACGGGCGTGAGGAGAGAGTGGCGGGGGCACTGTTGTTAGGAACCGCTTCCTGCGTCCGCCAGGGACCAAAACCGAACCTCCCCGCCCCCGAAGTGCAGCCTGAGTGTCACGCGCGCGCTGCCCCACGAACAGTCCCCACCTTGGCCCCGGAACCCGGCCCAGTCGGCGCGTGACCCAGCCCCCAGCAGCCCCGTGGCTGCTGTCTTCCCGCGGGCATGCACCCACAGCGAGGGGCGCCGGGGCCCCCGGGGAGACCAGGCGGTGCTGCGGGCGCTGCATGCGCTGCACGGGTGCCCCCACAGCCCCAGGTCCCCCAGAACCTGCCCTGCAGGCCAGCACATGCTGCTGGCGGCGACTTCCCATTGTTCTGCTGACACAGGAATCTCGAGTTTCCAGACACCGAGAAAAGGTCGCCCTGCTTCCCGGGGTTGGGGGTGCAACACACCCCGAGTTCATGTAGGATGTTAAAACAGCGTGTCTGGTGCAATTCCAGGTGCACCACGCAGACGGAGTTTTGTTTCCGTTAAAAAGAAGCATTTAAAAAAGCAACGGGGGTGGGGGGTGGGGGGAGAGGGTGACCATGAGGGGGAGCAGGAGAGCTGGGGGCCCGGGCCAGCTGCACTCACTGGGGTGACACTGGCCGACAAAACCAGGCAGGCTTCAGGTGTGCGGCCCTGCAGTGCGTCACCTGTGCGCCGGGCTGTGCGCTCACCTAGGGGGCGACGCTGCAGAGCTCACACGGGCTGACGACCGGGGCGGGGGGACCAGGGAGGGAGGACCCCGCTCCCAACTGGGAGGCCACCCTGGGCTGTGACCCCGCCTCGGCAGGGGATGGCCCGGGCTGCCGCCCGCCCCCGGGACTTCTCCGACAGCCACCGGGCACCCGCACAGCGCTCCCGCTCTGACGGGCACCGAGGGGAACGGTGGGCGCCCCGCCCCCAGGCAGGGTCTGGCTGCCCCGGGCAGGAGCCGAAAGGAGCCCATCAGCGGCGCAGTCGCACCCCTCGCCAGTCCAGTTCCGGGGACAGGGTCCGTGTTTTCAGAAAACACACGGCTTCTCGCAGCGACCACGTGAGAGTGCCGCGCGGTTACCTGTTGATCAGGCCTTGGACCTGCTTCTGGAGCCTTTGCCTCTCCTCCTGTTTCTGGGCGTCCACGGCCTCCTCGGCTCTCCGCACGTGCGGGGGGACATACTTCTCGCTGTCGTCACTCGGACGCTGCTGGGAATGACAGAAACGCATTACAGAAACCTGCACTGAACAAACCCCACTTTCCCCCTCACTTTTCACACTCGGGTGCGATGTTCCCAGGACCTGGTGGAAGCTGTACCCACTGACCGCGGCTGCCGAGCCGGCGTCAGACAGGCACCGAGCGCCGGAGCAGCCCGGGGCGAGCGCTGCTCAGCACCTGGCCCCCCCTCCGCGCTGACGGAAACACGGGTCCCTGTCCTGTGCTCCCTCTGCAGTCCCTCAGAGCTGGCTGGGCCCCTGGGGATCTGCCGACCGAGCCAGACCGTCCACGCTCTGCCCGGTGTAACTTACGGGGGCACGACGCAGCGGCACGCACACACCGAACATACTACCGGCTTTGCAGGCAAAGTGTTCTAAGGTAATATCAAACTTGTCAAAAACAAGTATCTAACTTTCACAATAAAATCAAAACAATCTACCGCTCACTCTCCTAGACCATCAACTGCGGGTGCACAAATCGTGATCTGGGACCAACGTGTCCTGGCCCCTAAGTGACGGCCCTGAGGAAACACCTGTAAGGACGGCCCCCGCCGTCAGGGAGCGCAGGCTCTGGAGAAAGCACGCCAGTGTGCACCAACCCAGCGGCTCTGCCACGACCCTGGTGCTCACGATGTGGGCCCCGCCTGCACAGGCTGGGCGGCAGAGCCAGCAGCAGCTGGGAACAAGGCTCTGCGATGGGAACCACAGCAGCACTCAGGAGCCGCGCCACGTGCGGGCGCAAAGGCGCCAGGGAGAGAGGCCGAGACAGCTCGTCCACCGGGGACGGGGAGAGTCCCGGCGACACCTGACGTGAGCGGACAAGCAGGGAAGCCTTGCCGGCAGGGGTGACAGGGAGGCAGCCCCCCTTTGTCTGCAGGGGTCCTGTCCCACGCCCCCGCGGACGCCTGAGACCGCAGACAGCGCTCACCTTGACATACAGACCTTCCCACCTGAAGGAAGCACCTTATGGCCTACCGTTGGCAAACCCAAGGCGCCAGCACCACCGCACCACCGCTTCAGGGCCGTTGTTAAGGGAAATGGCGGTTCTCTGGCCACAAGCAACACGACACTGTGACAAACAACCTGAACACTCAGACCCTGAGGCCGCGACGTGACCGGAGAGTGGGTGGCAAACAAAGGGACAGCCCTGGATGGAGCCGGACAGCAGGAGGCCTCGTCACACTTCTCAGGGCCCCTCCCCACTCAAAGCCCGTGGGTGGTTTCTTTCTGTAACTTTCCACTGAGTCGTCTTCGGACCACAGTGGACAGCAGGTCTGGATGCAAAGGAAGCAGAACTGTGGATGGGGAGTGGGGGCTGGCAGTGATAAGGCCACAGCAATTCCGCTGGCTGCCTTCAAGGCGCTTGTGGGGTGAAGCCGGTTTACCGGGCGGGGAAGCCCCTGCAGGCCTGTCCGGGCCTGTGAACTGGGCCTCCAGGGAGAGACTGCTGAAACAAGTGCTGCAGATCAGCTCAGTGCTTCACGAAGACTCCAGGAGCGAGCGGTAGGAAGGAAAACCCTAGGGGAGGGAAGGGGGGCGAGGGGCAAAGCAAGGGGGAGGTGGCCACAGTCAGGGTTGGAGACCAGGCAGGAACCCGGAATGGGGATGTCCCTCAGGACAACCAGCGCGAATGGCCTTTCAGTCCCCGGGAAAAAAGGCCCCGAGAGAGGTTTTCTCCCTTAACTCTTCATGATGGGAACTTAAAAACATACAGATAGCAGATAAACAGATTTCCCCACACTCAGCTCAAACACAAATTGGGCCCCTGTGTCCCACACCCTGGCCCCATCGTGATTTTGAGGGGAGTCCCAGGGACTGAACCCGTTCCCACCGTACCTGCTGTGCCGCGTCAGCATCCTCCGGGGGATTTTCAGGCCTGCCTTCATCCTCCGCAAAGCGGACTCTCTTCGTCCGGCGTTTCCCCTTCGCGCTCCCTTCTCCTCCTTGTTTTCCCTTTTTCTTCTGTACATCCTCCTGCTCCTGCTCGTCCTCTTGTTCCCCGCTCCGGTCCCGGGCGTCGCTGTCGTCGTCGCTCCCGTCCCCGGAGATGCTCTCCCGGTCGCTCCCGTCCCGGGCGTCGCTGTCGCTGTCGCTCCCGTCCCCGGCGATGCTCTCCCGGTCGCTCCCGTCCACGGCGTCGCTCTTGCTGTCGCTCCCGCCCCCGGAGACACTCTCTCCGTCGCTCTCGCGGGCCGTCTGTCCGGGGTCCCCCTCCTCCTCACTGCTGCTGTCATACAAGCCACTGCCGTCCCCGGACCCCAGGGCTCCCAGGATGTAGTCGAGCCCGTCGCGGGCGAAGCTGAGAGGCACAGAGCTGGCGTCGCCCTTCCTCCTGCGCTTGTTTAAGCCCAGACAGCGCTCCAGCTTCCGGATCTCTCGGTCCTCCTCCTCGTTGGCCGCAAGGAGCGCCCGTTTCCGAGCGGCGCTGGCGGCGGCCGAGGGCCGGGTGCCCCTGGGGGCGGCCCTGGCTGGGGCGGCCTTGGCCTTGGCCTTGGCCGGGGAGTTCTTGGCCCGGGAGGCCTTGGCCTTCGCTGGGGCCGGGGGAGGCGGCGAGGCCTGTGGCGGCCGTGGGGCCCGACGCGGCGGGGACGTCTGGCCGCCCGACCCCTTAGCGCCCTCCGCCTGGTGCCCGCTCGCTGCCTCGGCCCCGCCGCCCGGGCCCTGCGCGGGGCCCGCAGTCCTCTGCAGCCGGCGCGCCTTCTTCAGTCGCCGCTTTTCCTTTTTCAGCTCCCTGCGGTTCCTCCTGCCGCCCGGCCGCGCGCTCCGCTCCGCCAGGGGCCCCTCGCGGCCGCGTGGGGGCTGGCCCTCGGAGAACGCCTGCACGAACTCCTCCACTGCTAGCTTTAGCCGCTTCAGGGTTCCGGCCCTGTCGCCCCCAGGCCCGCGCCCGCCGGGACGCTTCTCGCGACCCACGCGCCGCCGGGAGCCGCCGGGGCCCCGCGACTCCACACTCGTGGACGCCGCCATCTTCCGGGCGCACCGGTGTTGACCCCCGGCAGAGGCGGGACTTCCGGGCAGGGAGCGGAGCGCTGCGCGGGGCAGGGCGGCGCCCCCTGCCGACCGGAGGGTGGCAGCGCAGGGAACCGCGCCGCCGCCAGGTGTCTCCTACTCGCAGAACTTACCTTCTCTCCTGCCGTATTTTGCCGTGTATACTGCGCAACCACGTTGTTGTAAATATACCACGGGATGATTATTACGCCCATTATCGTACTCGTGGTATGTAATGTAGTCACTAAACCCATGTATGATGCACATCCTTATGTTTCCCTCAAAAATGTGAGCAAAAAACTGTGCATTATACGTGGCAAATACAGAAACACCCTCCAGATTACGGTCAAGAGGCCTGTGCACCACCTGCCAGGGAAGGAAGGGAAGGAAGGAACCGTGCCTGGCAGCAGGGCGTGGAGCTTTTATTTTCACGCGTGGGTGCATTTACCTGGGTGTGAACACACCCCGGGGGGAAAGTGTGTCTGGTGGCTTCTGCGTGTACGTGCGAGTTTTTATGGGGAACCTTCACACTCACCCCACTCACTCACCCTCAGGCCTCAGTGTCTCCGAGTGCCGAGTGCCGAGTAATGCTCCCGGGTCCCACGGTTATTCGTTCCTCTGCTGACAGACCAGCGCGAGGTGAATCCTGGTCGCCAAGCCCCTGCCTGACGGAAACCGTGGCCTAGTCCTCACCAGGGAATAGGGCCTTTGCAGGTGTAATCAGGTTCAGAGGAGGTCTTGGACTCAGGGGGCCCTGGCTGCAATGCGGGGTGTTCTTGCAAGAGAGAAATGGGCCTCACACCCAGGGAGGAGGCCATGTGGCCCGGGACACAGCGATGGGGGTGGGGATGAGTCTCCAAACCGCGGACCCGAGGCCAGCTGGCCACCACCAAAAGCCGGGAGAGACCTGGACGGATTCCCTCGTGCAGCCCGGGAAGGAACCGGCCCTGGCCGCGCCTTGGCTTCTGGGAGTGAGGATTTCCTAGGCTGTGGTGGGCGCTCTGTAGGCCCAACAAGCTGCTTCCATGTGGAGGGCTCCCCCCACCGCCCACCTGTCCACACCACTGCCTCCTTGGTTCCTGGAGAGAAGCAACAGGGAGGAAGGGACTCCCAGCTGCAGCCCCCAGTCTGGGTGTGAGGGGCACCCACCCCTGCCTCCCTGGGCACCTCCTACCCCCAGCCCTGGCTGGTGGGCCCAAGGCTAGCTTCCGCCTGCCCCCCGCAGGGCCTGGGGTAGAAGTTGAGGGGTAAGAAAGAGGCCGGAGCCGGCCTTGCAGAGCTGCCCTCCACCTCTCCCCACCCCAGTGCGGCATGCAAGCAGCAGCCCCCGCACCCCGACCTGAGCTCTGCAGGTCTCTCCTGGAGCCCACGCTTCTCCCTCATTCAGTGACGTCTCGGGTGCTAACTGGGGAGAGGGAGTTGGTCGCTCCGGCTGCTGCCTCATCGAACAGGAACCCACTGAGTCAAATCTGCTTACTCCCACTGAGGGCTTAGAAGGGGTGTGGCACCCAGTAGGTGTTCAATAAACAGCAGCACCCTCTTGCTCAGCCGGCTTCCAGGAACCCTCCTCTGAGCCCTGGTTGCTGCCCAGGGCAGGGTTTTCTTGGCCCTGAAGCCAAGGCTGGTCAGACTCAGTGGGGAACTAAGGTGGGCAAATCTTAAGGGATATTTTTGAACCCCCAGATCCTAATGTGAAGGTGGCCTCTGGGCGTTACTCCGGCTGCTTCTCACCTGGAGGAGCCATGCACTCCCCAGCCTGCACCCTGTCCCCTCCCCGGAACCACCACCCAAGGACCCCTCCCCCAAGTCTCCCCCAGGCATTCAGGGCAGCTGGTGGACAGGAAGCCCTGTTTCTCTGGTCCCCATGAAGGGGCTGTTTGCAAACATAAAACAGTCCGTTAGTGACACATGGGCGGATGCGTGTGCAACAGAGCAAGTGGTAGGGCCAGGGTGCTGGTGTGTACGTATGGGCGTGGTGTGAGAGTGTGTGTTCCTGCGTGTGTCTGTCCGTGCAAGAGAGGGGCTGGAGAGGCAGCAGGGCCCTGGCGATGCCTGTTGGGCGTGGTGTTTATTCTGGGGGGATCAGAAGCCCTTTAAGTGGGTAAGAGTGGGGGGGGCGGGGGGCAGTGACCTCCACCGATCTGTGTTTGGAAAAGAGCACCAAGGCGGCTCGCTGGACTGACCCAAGCAGTCAGAACTGACCGGCAGACCGAGGGCTGCTGCATCAGACACTGGTCCCCCCGGCCTGGGAAGAAAAAATGTGGGTTGGGGCTCTGCCTGACGGCTCTTAGAAATAGTAGCTCGAGTGATCTAGTAAGAGTAATATATAATACAGAATATACCACTTAAAGTGTGACCCCTCACTCAGTGCCTCTGCCCGGCCAGCACGCTGTAGCAGATGCCGGCCGCAGACTGCGGACGCCCATGTCTCACTGTCTGGAGACCGAAGGCTGAGATCCCGGCTCCGGCAGATTCCGTGTCTGGCACGGACCCTCACCTTGTTCACAGCCGGCATCTTCTCGCCGTGGCCTTGCGCGCTGGAAGGACAGAGGGAGTGTTCTGGGGTCCCTGTTACGCGGGCATTAACCCCGTTCACGATGGTTCCCCCTCGTGACAGCTTCCCAAGTCCCCACCCCCCCAACACCCCCCACCACACAGGTTAAAGTTCAGCCCATAGCACTTAGGTTTACAAACATCTTTCCTTTTTTTAAAAAAAGATTTGTTTGTGTGTTTTTAGAGGCGGGAAGAAAGGGAGAAAGAGAAGGAGAGAAACATCCGTGTGTGGTTGCCTGTCATGTACCCCCACACATGGGACCTGACCCCCGTCCCAGGCGTGTGCCCCGACTGGGAGTCGAACCAGCGACCCCTGGTTTGCAGGCCCGCGCTCAGTCCACTGAGCCAGGGCTACGAACTTGTTTTTTCTCAGTTCAATGCATCAATTTACTGATTATTTAGTATTTTTGTTCTGATCCGAAACTAGCTCTGCTCACTGTAACCCACGGAGAGAGGGCCGTTACCGGGGTAACGTGGGGCGGGAAGTCCGTCATCAGCTTCCGTGGATGCTTGGCGTTGGGGCGCGCAGGCAGACAGGAACCTCAGAACGGCGGCTTTTTACCGAGAGGGACACATCGTCTGCTGCCCTGGGCGGGAGGGCTTCGGCTGTTTCCCATCCGTCCGGTCCGTAGTCTGGTCCTGCAGCGGCCTTGCTGGTGGCCTGTCCGGGACCTGGCATTTGGGGCCCCCCTAGACCTGACTCGGGATCCGTGTGTGATAGGCCCCCCGTGCCCCCATGAGTCGGGCCTGCGGAGGGCAGAGCACCGCTGAGCCCGGATCGCTCCCTCTGCTCAGGGGCGTTACAGGCATACTTCATGTAACCAACCTGCTAACGGTTTTTGTTTTCTTTTAAAAACACTTTTGTGCCCTATTAGTGTGTGTGTGTGTGTGAAATCATGCCAGTGTTTCACCGGCTAGCACCCTAGAAACTGCCTAGGGAAAGTGTGTAAATGTGCTTTTTTTAGTGAACAGTTAACTCCAAACTTCCGTCCCCACCCCCCCTCCCACCCCGGTGCCAGCTCGAACTCACGCCCGCCCCTCCTTCGTGGACTCCTCTCGGGTTTTTGTCTTTGTCCATCTGCTGGGTGAAAGGTCAGCCCTTGGGGGGGGGCACGGAGGGGGGCCGCAGGCTCACCCAACCCCCTTCTTCAGCTTCCCTCCCCAGGAGCCACCCAGCCAAGCCCCGCCCTCCCTGGTGGAGAGCATTCGGTCAGGCCCTGGGCACTGCCCGGGCTGTTTGCTCCCGCCCTTCGGACCACGGGCCCTGTGCATGCAGCCCAGGTCCTCTCCAGCCCACGCGCCAGCCGTGGGAGCGCCCACTCGAACCCGCGCCTCTCTACCCCATCCCCCGCCTGAGATGTTTCCGTGACTCTCGGTGCCGCAGAGCCACCGGCTCAGCCATGTTCGGGACGAAAGTGCCCTTCACGTGCGTCTCTGCCTGGGCCACCCGGGGACCCCGGGTGTGGCGGGACAGAGGCATGTCACACTCCCTGAGTGGGGGCCCACCCCGCTTTGCTCAGACACAGTTCCCCTGTGTCCCCACGGCGGCGGGCCTCCTCCAAGTCACACCCGTGCCGTGGGGCATCTGTGACCGGCCACCTCCCCAAAGGGAGCGCTTGCTCCGTCCCTGCTGCTTCCTGCCGTGTATTTCTGCCCACCCCCCTCCGGGACCCAATTCCTGGCACCCAGCAGGCACTCAGGTATTTGTTGGGCCAAGAACCGAGGGAGCAGAAGAGTGACCGAGGTCGTGTGGGGGCAGAAATGAGCTTCCAGAGCCGCCCCGTCGCCCTTAGCCCGCTCCTTCCGGGGTGTGATTACCTGCCGGGCAGCTCTGCCCAGAGCCGCGAGGCCCAGGTGAGGCTCAGCTGGCCCTCACCTGCGGCCACCTGTCGGGTGAGACCCGGAGCAGGACGTGTCCTTGGGATCAGAGGCTCCTAGCGAGGCCTGGCCCTGCCCTGAGCTTGTCGCCAGCGCCTCTGGCCTGTGGTTTATCGTGCGTTGGCTGACGGGGGGCTCACCACTCGACACAGCTCGCCAGATGACGGAGGAGAGGGCGCTGGGTCGCTGACCTCGGCCGACATCCCTCGCCCCGTGAAGACAACTAAAGAAAAGTCCCAGTTCTCTGTTGCGATCTTCAGTCTTTTTAGGTTAGGAGCTGACCGTTTATCACAGGAAGACGCTGATCTATAAATAAATGTGAAAGCCGCCATGCATCTGAGCCTCGGCGGCCCGGGTTGAGGCAATGGTCTGTAAATATATTTGTCTGTGTCATCACCGGTCCCCTTTTTACTAACGGCGTGGCTTCCGTTATGGCTATGAATCTCTTTCCCTATGACCAAAGCCCCTGCAAAACCTCCGCCCCTGGTGCGGGCCGCCGGGCAGCTCTCCCGCATCCCAGCAACGCCGAGTCCGCGGTCCGGGCTCCGTCTGCGCCCC